TACTACCTGGGGATTCTGAAGAGATATGACAGATCCCTTAAACTAATCTTACTTTTGTAAATGAGCAAAAGGCTCAAACTGTTAATGGTAACAAAAGCGATTAGATACAAAATTACCACCAGTCGGGTGGGGCAGTAAACTTAGAAGGGACGTGTGTGTGTGTGTGTGTGTGTGTGTGTGTGTGTGTAAGTGAAAAGCTTTAACGAAAGTGGAATCAAAGGCTTTGCAGAAGCGGAAGGCCATTCTAAGCATGAGGAGTGAGCCTGGTCCGTCTAGGAGACAGCAAGTAAAGGGTTCAAAATGAGAGAGGACTTAGAATCTTAGAGCTGGAAGAGATCATCACCCAAGATAGAAATGCTAGGAGTCAAGTCAACAAATTTATTGAAACCAACCCATAGAAGGCATTGAATACCAATTTTAGAATGTGATCTTTTATTCTAGAGCCCCTCAAAATTTTTTTAAAAAATCACTTCCCCACCTCTTTTTGGCCTTACTCCCTAAATTGCTTCCATCCCTGTGAAGTGCTAATACCACAAATATACTGTATATTTCTTTATATGCAAGTGGCTCTTTGGAAAACCACAAACCATTGTAATAGCTTAGATTCCCCTCTCCTGAACCAATTTTCACCTCCTTAGGGGAAATGTCACCGCAATTGAAAATTCGTGCTTTAAGCAAATGTGGTGAAGATAGCTGATGGTGCTGGCTATCAAAAGATATAACATCTGGGGTCTTAGAAGCTTGCAGTTAAGCGGCCATCTAGCAGGGAAGCCACAAAGTTCCCATGGAAGAAGCACACCAGCCTGTGTGATCATGAGGTGTCGACCAGATCAGGTATCAGAAGACCCCAAACAAGCAATCCTATCGATGTGACCGAGGAGAGTCAGAGTGGAGACCTAAAGCCCATCTGTAGACAATTGGACATCTCCTCACAGAAGGGTCACAAGGAAGGGACGAGTCAGCCAGGGTGCAGTAGAGTATCGAGGAAACACTCAACATTCCTCTAGTTCTTTAATGCTTCCTCACACACCCCACTATCATGACCCCAGTTCTACCGTACAAACCTGGCTAGACTGGAGCATGTACATTGGTACAGATAAGTGCTCTGGACACACGGAATCCAGGACAGATAAACCCCTAGGAGCAGAAATGGGAGTAGCGATACTATGAAGGTAGGGGGAAGGTGGGGGGAGGAGGAGAAAGGGAGAACCAATCGCAAGGATCGACACATAACCCCCCACAACCACAACCAGGGGGACAAACAACAGAAATGTGGGTGAAGGGAGACCGCAGATGGTGTAAGATATGAAAACAATAATTTATAATTTA